TTATGTGGATGTTTTGTTGCGTCTTGATATTCATTGTTGGCTTGTGGTTGGCAACTTTAGCATCGACGCGGTGGAGGAATCCGTAGTAGCAATAGTTCGAACTATCTGCCGATTCACCAACCTGCCACGGCCTCCGTGATACCGATCTGTCACCACTCTCTTACAACTAGAGTGATACCAACTTCGTCGAGGCCCTTTAGTATTTGCAACTTCAATTGTTCCGTTCCTATGGTTTCTGTAGCATCTTCTATCCCAACTCAGCAAAATCAGAGACCAACATCAAGACTGGATAAGGATGTGGACCGCGGTAGCACGCCCCGAACGCCACCTAATACCTCCTCAATCTCCACACAAACACCTGCATTTATTCCACCAACATCAGTGGTGACGGCAGTGTCCGCGAAAAATATGACCGGACGAGTCTATTCCGCATTGAATTATCCATATGATCTTTCTTTCCAAATATGGCAATTTTTTGTCGAGAATCGACAGTCTCCTGCCACTTATGGGAAGAAAGTGCATTTCAGAAATGCTCTCCGCTTAATAATTTCATCGGTCTTTCAAAGTAAGTTTACGCCGTGTTTGATTTACCTCCAATTTTCTGAATTTACTTGTCCAACCATTTTCCCTTATAATGAACTCTTCTTGATTGTCACCCTCTTGTTGTATAGATTCGAAACTCTTCATTGTTGGTTCTTCTATCAACGGCTTTGGGTGGGATCAAAGCGACACCGACTTATGCCTTGTCGTTACATCACAGGAGTTGCAGAACAAGCGTGATGCCTCCGCGGTGCTGTACCAACTCATGACGCCTTTGCGCAAATGCAGTGAGTTTTTATCTCCCTAAACTCCCACTTGCATTGTAGCTTGATCAATGCGATTCGAAGTACATTGAGGTCTGGTTGCATGTTGAGTGCGTTGTTTGGAAGTTTGGTCAAACACTAAAATATGCCAAACGTAGATGCAGCAGAAGGACTTGTGGAAGTGTATTCACTATTTTTGCCCCTAGGTACCTCACCATCTTAGCCATGTTACACGATCGCCTTATTGACGATATTTCGAAACCTAAAAATTGAATCTGTATTTGGTTGGCTTTTGGGTAGGCGCACGGCAGACTTAGCAAATGCGACTAGTCCATTGAGTTTACTTATTAATTCATCCTTATAATGTGAGGGAGTGTAAGTCATTTGAATGTGCCCTTTGCTCCTTACTTGAATTGTTATTCCTGAAGCTGTTAGTCCTCCAGCTGTTTGGATCGTTGGTAGCGGGTGATAGGTATTGGGAGCTGAAGTTTTGAGGCCCTACTAAGAAGCCCTTCCAAATTAATTGCTGGTGGTCAGTATACAGAACTCATACTTGGAGTAGTTGTGAGTAGGGATGTCACATATAGCTAGCTGAGCGACGTTGTTACCACATCTACAAAATTAATTTTTCATTACTATCATTGCTCTACCGATTGGATAAACAAGGAATGAGAAGTTGATAAGGAAAGTAGTGTAGCTTTGGAAAGTGAATCACCACATATTGCTAACGCTATACCTCCAACTTTTCCAGGTTTTATCAGGAACTGTAATCTGATTCGTGCAAAAGTGCCAATTCTTAAGTTTCGTGACCAGTTGTTGGATATTGAGTGTGATTTAAATGTCAACAATGTAGTGGGAATATACAACACACATCTCCTCGCTATGTATGCTAAAGGTGAGACTATTTTTTAAATACTTTTTTGTGCGTGATTATTCTTGAATCTGTGTTGAGACAAGCATGCAACTTCATTTGTCATCCCTCCTTGGGGTTGATTACTGTCACTTTAGGTCGCAGAGCCAATTAGTCAATTCTTAAGCCGATGTAGACACATCCTTCCCTAGATTGGTTTAGAAAAAGGGTTCCTTTGTATTTCGTTTTTCGCATTTTCCTCAATTGTACCATTACTTGTCAAGAACCTTGCTTGGACTAGGTATCTTTGAGGTTATTTTTCTGCTAATACTCTCGTATGTGCGAAAAATATGTTCTGATCTCCTAAACTGCACCATTAATTATCATCTGCATTTCCGTGTCGGATTTCTCAAACCGAACACAGTTCTGTAACCGTCAGCTGTGCTTACTTTGGAGCTTGGTAGCGAAGCTGTTAGATGCTGAACAATAGTTGTCCGCATCACGTTTTTTAAGCTTGAATGCGATCAGTTACTTTTGTAGGATGTTGGGAGTAGGCGTTGAGTAAGTGGGTCTTAGAAGCTTCAATTTCCTCCTTTAACAGTCGACTCTCGGTTGCGCCCACTTGGCGTGTTTGTGAAGCACTGGGCCCAGAAGATGGACGTTCATGATGGCAGTCGTGGTCGACTCTCCACATACCCCCTAATATTAATGCTAATTCAATTCTTGCAGTGTGGATGCTCGCCTCCCGTTCTACCAAATTTGCAAGCTCGTTTCCCTGTAAGTCCGCTACTAATAAACTGTGAGTAGAGCGTGTCGTTTTAAGGCAATTATTTTTATTGATTCCAAAATGGATGTGGATTTTTAAGTTGTGATAGACTTGGGAAACTGGAAATGTTTAATTAGGCTCTCAGAATCCATTTTCATTGAGAGCATTGCAGGTATTCGGCAACGCGTTTTACTGGCGAGTAATCCGGGTGAGGTAACGGAGGAAGTGGAATGAGCCTTAACAACTTCAGTGAAACCTTTCTTGAGTGAATTCGCGCAATTTTGGATTCCATATTTGGGTTAAATTAAACTTCTTGTAGTTATCATTACGCTGCAGTCACGTACTCCGTAATGTTCCTCTTATTGTGTTATTTTTTTTGAGGATTGTGATCTGAGTGGGTGTGGTTTATGCGATCGTAAGATGTTTCCCCTATAACTACTAAGCGAGAGCGCCTGGAGTCTGGCTCCTCATTTTCTTGCAGAAGATATTCGACTATGAGCGTCCGGTGAAGGAATTAGACATGCGTTTACAGCTGCCCTGGAACGAGATGCACAGTGCCAATACATCCACACTGAGCGAGCTCTTCGCTGGTTTTATTGCTTACTACGCAACCTTTGACTTTACTCGATGGGCCATCTCAGTTCGGTGTGGTCAACCATTGCCAATCGATGTGGCGATCCGGTGTCTTCCACCCCACGAACAAGCGCATACGGCAGCCTCATTTAAAATTTTTGTTGAGGGTAAGTAAATGTGCTACAGCATTGGTTGGAATAGCAATTCGCCTTCCCTTTCCTAACTGCGTTTTCGCTCACTTCCTTCACTTGAGCAGTGCTGATTTCATGCAATGCTTTGAAAATCGAATAGTGTTAAGGCTTTGAATGTGAGTCCACATAGAGTTTAAAGTTAGGCTTCGGGCGAATTCTCCGCGACATGTGAGGCTTTGAACGTAGCTTTGCTATTACTTCTTATTGCTCTTTTGGTGTACATGAGGGAGGTGTATATTGACGTAGCATCACAGTGGTCACCACCAAAGAATGTTGTAGTGCATGATCTTCATCCGCTTGTGTTGATCTCTGCCTCCATCGAACATGCATCAGTGATGAGCTTTTCTGTGACTGGTATTAAACCATGAGGTAGAAGCATTGGTATTGTGCTGCTGTAATGCATCTCACGTTTTCTGTGAGCTCAATTTTGTGGCCATGGCATTGCTTTAGTTTTTGGAGCCCATAGGTGTGCCATGATTGCAAGTTCATTGCAAGGTTTATCGTCATTTCTCTAGAAGAGCGTTTATGTAGAAAGCATAGCTGGAAGGGTGTGGTATACAATGGGAGTGGTTGCGCTTTGGAGCCCGAATGAGGGGTTTCTGATAGTAGTTTTGATCAGGTGAACTTTGGGGAATTGTCCAAAAATTGACACTACTTTGTCTTTTACACCAAGATTTTGGTGTTTGTAGGAAGAAATGTGGATATTTGTCCGCTTTTATGAACGTTTTATCGCGTTCGATAGTGTAGTTTGGCTTCTTGAAATACATCTGTCTCTGTAGGAGGGTTGTTGGTTATTAACGAAACACCTCGACGTCGAAATGTTGGTGGAGGCGGCGGAGGTCAGTTAAGAAGTCGCTACAGTTAACTGAGCATCAAATGTCGGCTTCATACACGTGCTTTCTCCACTGTAGAGCCCTTCTGTAAAGCAAATGCTGCGCGCTCTCTCTATGATGAGACAGTTTTGGGACAAATTCAACAAGCTTTCAATCGTACTGATGGAGTCCTACGAGCGCAGAAGCCCCTGGAGTCTCTTTGGAAACCCTCTTCATCGTCATCGACCACTTCGTCAACGTAGACTGGAATGACGGTGACCTCACTGACAATAAAGGCAACAGTTTCTTTTGGTTTCAGTTCCACTTTCCTCCTCACCAAACGATTCGTTGATTGATTGGGCTAGTAAGCCAGCAAGGCAGCCAGAATGTGACTAAATAACTTAATGTGGTCTATTTTATTTTGTGTGTGTGCGTGTGTGTATGGTGACCCGTGTCCTTTTCCCTTTGGCTCAGAAAAAGAGCGAAGTTGCAGATTTTGGGGCTTAATTTTGAGTCAGAAAATGGGGTCCTGGATGGACGAAAATCTGTGTGGAAGGAGACTTACACGACGTCATTTTGTTGGAAAACTTTCGAAGGTGATTGATGTGTGGCAAATTGATGCTTGTTTTATCCACAATGCCTTTTTGATGGACAAAATGACATGAGAGTCCATGAAATTTCATGCAATTGAACTGTGATGTGTGGATAATCCTCTCACAGAAGGTGGGTGCGATCGCTTTTCGCATCTCCGGTGTTTGACCTACGTGCATTGTTGGCTTATGGTAATCTACTAGATTGGATTTGTCTTAAGCGGACTCACTGGACCCTCATCCAGAAAAGCAGGCACAGTAGCTAAACTAGTGAACGGGCAACGGCACTGTCCGAGTAATGGAACTTCTAACCTCTGTGAGATAAATGTTTGCAAGCTTCATCCAAGCATGGGTGACCCATGAGGTTTGCACTACATTTTGGATGTTGTAGTGTCAAAAGATATTTAGGAGAAAAGAAAAACGTCATTCTCAAATTCCATTTGAATCAGTATGGCATTTCTGGAATGCTTGCAGAAATAGGTTAGTTGTTTCGCGTCTTCAGCTGGTGAGAGGCGTGAAAACTCCTCTCAACCACCAATCATTTGGCTTCTAGTATCCGCTCTCAAGTTAGTCAGCCGAGCTGAGTGGATCTCTGCCTCGATAAATGGAAAGTCAATATTTGCTACATTGATAACCATTTGATTTCACCTGGAGGAGAAAATCGATCGAGACTAGGGCTTGCTGCAGACCTTATTGATTATTCCGAAAAGTGATCGATTTTACCGGTTCCGTGGCTCCAGCCGCAGAGAGAGTCGATTTCGTATCAAAGGTAGTTTATAATTTTGCTTTTCGTGAAACTCAGAACTCAACTAATTGAACAATTAAATTTTTGATTTAGAGATTTGGTGTTGCATACAATGTGTCCCTTGGTGCATAGATTTTGCCTTCTAATTGAGGCCACTGTGTGCTGTTAATAGAGTGCGAATGCTACTGTTCCTCCCTTTCCTCTCCTCTATTGGCCTTATGGCTGCTATGGTTCGCTTTACTGTATCAGCTTCTTTAGAAAGTTTGATTTGGTGTCTTTGTCAGGTGTCTCGTCTTTTCGTGGCGTTGCTGAGGGCGTTTTTGATTCCTTGGGCTTCGACAGAACCTGGCCACTATCGTCCAACTCAGTTCTCGACGTCTTGCTTCGCGGTGATTTCGCCGTAGTGGAGAGTGGAGGCACTGTTAATGGCGTGATCGAGGTTCGAGGCGCTTGAGTTAGACTTGCGACATCTCCCTCTCCAGTTGCATCGGATTGAATGAAAATTCGGGCCAAATTGGTTGGCCAGAAGATGTACTGAAAGGGAAATCGTGCCTATTCATTGTGACAAAGCAAAAAGGCTATCTTTTGCGCAACTCACTAGAATGTACACATGAGCTGCGAAATCGGCTGTGCTTGATATCGACCGATGGAGCGCCAGACGACGCCACAGGGCAATGTAGTCACCATTGATGATAAGAATTATTGGCAGAACCCAAAACCTAAACACAAGTCAAGGTCACTGCTGGCGGAGAGAAGAGGTGACTTACCAAGCTGAATAGAAGCAAATGAGTTGCAAGTAGAAGACTCGCTTTGCAGGCCAATGAGTATTCGTGTACATTGCGACCAACAGAAAGGTGAGCCACGCGACTACATTTAAGGCAGCCAAAGTATAGCCCGTCGGCGATTGGAAGAGATATTTAGCTCGACCCGAATCAAAGGCCTTAAATAAAGGCAGAGGATGACCAAGTTAGTTCCATAATTTCTGATCCTATAAATAATTGCTTGAACTATTTCACAAATTTGGCTGAGTTTAGGGAACAGCGCGATTTTTGTCTGCAAGTTAGAACTTCAACTAATGGTTTCAATTTACTTCAGTGGTCCAGCGATGCTACTCACTTTTACTAAGTAGAGGCTGTTAAATAAGTGCTAATTTAAAAAGGCATACTTGGGAGAAGTACTGCGCCGAAAGTGATGGACTAAAACACCAGTGCACCTTTTCAGACGCAAAATCCAGCAAAACGTAAGGTGTTTGTCAGATTAAACAAGGTGTCATGCAAGGTTACCGAACCATGACAACAGGTTTGGGAATGATGTTAAGGGAGATTTTTGTACGGCGGGATTTGCCTCGCATTTTGGCTCAAATACAGACAAGTAATGTGAAACGCTCCGGATGTCCAGCCATCATTTTGGTGAGGCCAAGGACCTGTCTGAGTTTCTAATACTGCACTTTTAAAACGGAAAAATAATGTGGACCGTAAATGAATAAATAAATGGGCATTTATCCCCACTGCGCCGTCGTTAGGACGCCAGTTGCGAATATATTTACCGGCTCAGACGCATATGTGACAATACCACGTGTACCATTAACACTGGACCCTGGTTTCGTTGTTATGTGATCGGCTCAAACAAACATACTTGTCAACAATCAGTCAGAGATCTCCAACTTTCAAGTTGTTAAGGTCTTGCCAAATCAACTGTGACTGTGCAGGCCCCTCCTCATGGCAACTCCTAATGTGGGGCCTTGATTTTATCCTGTGCCATTGCTGGAGGAACTGTCAGCTATTCACCTCTCAACAAATGCATTCGTGAGTCATCAAAATGGATGGAAGAAAGTGATGATAGACTAGCAGAATTTGAGACCAGGAATGTTGGATGCACAAATGGATGGGATAGGACGGAATAGGAGGAAGGTAGTAGAGACACAAAAAACTCTGATCTTCGACAAATAAAAGGGGGGAGGGCAATGATAGAGACATTCACAATTCTGACAAGAGTTACGCAGCATTTGCGAGAAAGTAAGCGAAACCTACCAAGGTGGTCGTGATCCCGCATGCTAATTGAACGAGTCCATAAATGCCCACTGTCGCTAGGAGGGTGATTGTCAGACGCTTGCCAGGATCCCTATGAACGATACGATAGCCAGAAGCAAGAAGAAGCAGCAAAGCCACCAAAGCACAATTGGTGACACCACCCATAAGGTCACCTATAATCGATAAATAACCAGAATCAATAAAAATGACATTGTGGGGTTTAAGTAGGATGTAAGATGCAAAGAGCCTCAAGAAAAGATTGGTGGATGGTTAGTTGGCTGAGTATTGTTTGAACGCTCAAAAGATTTTCTATCCTGTGTAGAATCTGATAGAAATATTTATTAAACAAAAAGGGGGACTTCTGACTGATTTCCACCTAATGCCACCTGGTCTTCTAGGGAGTGCAGCCTAGAATGACTACCGCTTTTAAATCTTTTTAGTCCTTGAACTCCCACGAAAGAGGCTTAGGTTTCTGCCACCGGTCTTTGTAATAAACCTGCGTAGTGACCCGATTTGATTAATTTCCTAACTTCCACTTACAAATTCATTCGTTCTATTCTTCTTTAACTTTTCCTCTGCGTACAATAACCTTTTGTGTTACCTTAAATTCTTCAAAAAGTAGAAAATTAATTCAAGCTTACTGATGATCTCCAACCACATGGGTCGTCGACCAGCATTGGACAGATGACCCATACACATGAGAGCGAAAAGCCACTTCAAAAAGGCAAAGAGGAACACTCCGAAGAAGAGAAGCAGCGGATATCGTAGATGGCGCTTTTCTTTCGACGTTACTGTAGAACCGATAAGACACCGGTTTGCATAGCTACTTATAAAACATTTCAGTAGGTGTGTGGTCATGCCAATGGAAGTGAGGGAGAGCAATTTCATTAGTATACAATGCCCAGTAGACATCTAGGTCCGGTTTCAGAGCATTTAATTCGTAACAATTTTATTAATTTATTCAGCTAAAATGCTGCGAAGAAATAGGTGACTTCAAATCTGAGAAGAGATTTCGAATGAATTGCATTAGTCCATTCGACTGCAGATTGGCCCTATCATTTCGCTCGTCCTTTCTCTCTCATATTAGCATTCACTCATTTACAGCCCCCATATTCATCTTTGTGTTGGACAACTCAAGTTAGTTCATAATCCTAAGGAATTATTTACAGATCAATTCATGTGATCATTTGTTCTAAAATTCAGGAGGAACAAGCCAACAGCACTTTACTTACTCAATCTACGTTTATAGCATTCAGCCTATTTACAGACCCTTATTCGCACTACTCAAAGCCCTAGGAGGAATTTTCTGACTGCCTATCATAAAATACCGTCCAAAAATAGGCAACGACTCGATTGATCGAAAGGATTAAATTAACCATTACAATCTGCAATGGAACCAATGTACTTATAAAATGCAAAATTATTAAAATTAAGACGTTTAGGGAATCATTATAGTTTTGTGAAATTGATTTATAAAGTTAGTAAAATTATTTTGTCTTACTTAATATCCAACCGCCGATAAAAAGCGTTCCAACTGAAGCCACCCAAAAGATTAAAACGGTTTCCAAACTTCCTGTAAGCGAGAAACAGTTTATTAAAGATACAGAACTCATGGAATGGGGACGAAGATATAGTCGGATTACAAATACCAAAGTCATCAAGGGAAAAGTGTCTTCGAAACAAATTCCCACCGCCTTTTCCATTTTGCATTTCAAGGCGGTAATAAACAGGTCGGAAATTTTCTTTTCCGTTCTCCTTAAACGGTTCCTAAAAGCAATAACTATGAGTAGAAGCAAAAGCGTCTACCTCTGTTCTGCAGCTATCCAAAGCAAAGAAGAACCAAGAGATTTTTCCGGGTACGAAAGTAATGTCAGGTGATTTACAGTAAACCCAGTTAGGCGATACACTAGAGTCGGAACGGTAGAGTGAATAGACAGCTTGAAGAATGGTTGAGTGGTGGCTTTCTAAGGGAAAAGTATAGAGCTGACGAGGAAAATCGTGGCGAGAATGATTCCGGTAGTGAGAATCAATTTTCATCATTCGCTCAACCATGCCACTTTCAGCTTCACGAAAATCCGGTAATTCAAAGGGATGGGCAAAGTTCCTAAGATCGACGTGTTCGCACCAACTGCTCTCTTCAGCTGAAAGCGAAAATTTTTGACTAGGGGAAAAATTCTGCAAAAGTATGAGCTTTTCTCCGCACGTCTAAAAGATACGGAGGTAAGTCAAAACATAAGCTGACACACCATTCGCGAAGTGTATGCTATAGACCATATCTCTGGTGCATTCCAGTAGGTATTTAAAAAGACTAAGCCCAAAATCTGAATGCTTATTGGCAAAAGGCTTTTTTACTTCCGGATAGGCGATTTCAAACCTAAGAAGACTTTCATGTTTGTGATAGCAAAATCGCGAGAGGTAGCTTAAATCCTAAAAGATAGGGCGATATTATTCGACTTACTTCACCATGATAAAGATTCCCTTCATATATAATAGCCGAATGTTCCCTTACTAACAGTAAGATTAGCACAGTTATTGTTCCAATTGGCCACATTATCACCCATTTGACATATCACCTGCGCGTTAAGGTCGATCTTAATGCAATTCTAAAAAATTAAACAAATATTGATAATCTAAGGTCACAAAGAAAGTTAACTCACAAATGTTTAAAACTTTGACTTTAAGCAAAAGCTTTTTATCGTTAATTAAATTTTGATAACTTCGTGCAAGAAGAAGCTAATTTCAGAGCTCCGAAATTATTTGCAAGTTGAAATTAGACATTAAGTTGGTTGAGTTTATGCATTTTAGAAGGTGGAGAATAAATTAAACCCTGGCCTGTTCCAGTGTCAATCGCATCTATACAAAGTCCAGGAAAGACGACCTTCACACATCAGACACAACGAGTACGTCGCCGCTCCTCTTCTCTCAGTCAGATCATTTACACGTCCACACACCCGCCACAACTGTAGCTACCGCCTGTCTGCCACCTGGTCCCTGGTTCTCAGACTATAAGAGGAAGTTGGCTGTAGATGATTTATTAGGTATCGTTGTCAGGAAAGATGGGGAATAGGATACCGATGAGGTGGGTAAGAGATATCAATGGGGGGAGGCTCCTCGCCGACTGCACACACATGACTTACGCTCCCAATTGATTCCCGCCTCTCACCTATAAAAGTCCACTTAAACAAGCTAGAATATATTGCACAGCCCCCTTCTCTTTAAAGCACCATCCCCGGTGCTGACCAGCGGGATTCAATCGGACGGATGCTCTTTTTCTGGTACTGCATAGACTTCGTCTTTGTTACCTACTGGGGGTGGACCCGTATATGGCCCAATCTTGTTATGGTGTACTGCTTGAATCCGAGCAGCGATCTCCGCGTTCCGAACGAGATAATTCGTAGGCGGCAGGGCTTTGATTATCCGGTAGGGTTCCTTGCTCCAGGGGTGGTAGAATTTCCGATAGGTTCCTGCCGGGGGGATTGGTCTATACAATTGCATCAAATCGCCCTCTCTAAAGACGTTTGTTCGGCTCTGTCTATTGTAGGATCTCTTTTGTCTAGCGTATGCTTTCTGCAGTTGTCTGCGAGCAACATCAAAAACTTTTCTGAGGTTCTCTTTTAGTCGCAAGACGTACCGAGGCGCATTATCACCTGTGGGTTTCTTACGGGGAAGCAAAATGTCCGAAGGAACTCTCATTTCACAGCCTGTAAGCATCTTGAATGATGAGACTCCAGTCGAGGTGTGGGCAGAGGCTCGGTAGGCAAGAAGAGCCCGTCCTAGGTATAAATCCCAATCCTCGGGCTGCACCTCTTTGGTAAAGGCCTTCAATAACTCGACGAGAGTACGATTTGTTCTCTCCACTTACCCATTACCCTGGGGGTGACCCGACGTCGTACGCGTCTTACGGATTCCAAAGCCTTTGCATAGTTCTTTGAAAAGACAACTTTCGAAGTTCGCCCCTTGAAAAAAATGAAAAATGTGGTTGTTACTGTCTCAGCGTCTTGCGTCAGCAGAGGCTCGGCTTCCGCAACCTTGGTGAAGTAGTCTACCATCACCAAAATATAGCGGGTTCCTCTCGGAGTCGTGGGAAGGGGACCTATAATGTCTATGCCTACTCGCTCTCCAGGAAAGCCCGAGGCCATCGACTGCAGGGGAGCAATCTCCGTGCGAGTCGAACTCTTCAGGTTGGTACATGTAGTGCATGCGCGGCAAAAATCAGGGACGTCCGATGTCATCGAAGACCACCAATAACTCTTCCTTGCGGCGTCCAGCATCTTCCTGACCCCATATGGCCCAGTTGCTCATGCAATTCCAACAGTGATGGCAGCACCAAGGAACGGGGTACTACGAGGCGCTTAGAACCTGTCTCAACATCGTCTTTGTACCACATAACGTCGTCCTCTAAGGGGGAGTTTATTCCAGTTCTGCCATATTTGCTAAAGTTGCCAACCACAAGCCAACAATGAATATCAAGACGCAACAAAACATCCACATAA